GGTGCTGGCAGCTCCCTCTCTGGGGGGTCGGAGCGCACCTGGGCCGCCGCTAACGGGGCTCCCGCGTGTGCTCTGCCCATAGGCAAGTCCGCAGCCGCCTTGGAGGATGGACATCAGGCCAAACCACACCATCTACATCAACAACATCAATGACAAGATTAAGAAAGAAGGTATTGGCGCTTGTCACTTGCCTGTAGGAAGCTGATGCTTTTGCGTCGAGCTGGCTTCCACACCTGGTCGTGCACTCACACACCGTGCTTGGTGTCTTGGCTGTGACATGGGCTCGGTGCTCTCGGGGCTCTGCAGTGCTCAGCAAGAGGCTGCTTGTGATGAAGCAGCAGCGAAAGTCAACAAATGCAGCACAATGTTAAAGTCTTTTCGTAAACCAGGAACCGTACTTCTAAGGAAGCTGCTGTGTTTCTGTAACTAACTACAAAAGTTAGGTTTGCTCGTCAGTGAGTAGCTGTAATGGTAGGAGTAATGAGAATATCCAATGGATGCCGAGAGGCACGTTGGCATACATACCGGTGGTCAGCAGTCCCCTCTCACTGAAATGTGGGATCATCTGTGCACTCATTTCTTTTAGTGCCATGCGAAAGCAGTGAGCGTGGCATGAGCTTGGCTGCGTTGCGCTGCCTTGTTAGACACACTGCCTTGCAGGCACTGCAGCCCTCTCTAGAGGATTTCTAGCTCCTCGCAGTGTACTGAAAAAAAAAAGTCACTTGCCTTTATCTGGCTGCACATTCAGTGTCTGCATAGAACAATTCAGTTAGTACTTGTGCTCAGCTTGTAATCTAAAGTAACAAAGGTAATTTATTTGTTGTTTGTGAACTGAATGGCTGGATCAGACTAGCACTGCTTAAATGTTCTGTCAGGTTGCTTCAGAGAGAGATCTGAAAATGGAAACAGCTTTGCTGGGAAATGATTTATTAACATGTCAAGATAGTTTTACGGAGTAAATTTAACTTGGGGCTTTGTTTAGAGCATGTTAAGTGTCTTGTAAACTAGTAAGTCACCATTATGAAATTGCATGGTTATGATTTTTAAATGTAGGATTTCAAATTACCTGTAAAGCTTACAAATGTGATTTATTTTTTTAAATACAGTTTCTGAAGTTATATTTAAGGGAAGTGTTTTGATAAGAACACTTTTTAAAAAGATGTAGTGCTGCAGCTGCTCAAGAGCGGCTGGAGAAAGTGAAAGTGGTTTTGTATTACCAAGTCTCAGCAGCAATAAACAAGAGGCAGTGCTCTTATGTAGCAGAAATATTACGAATGTAAGATTTGCGAGTTAGACTAATTACACAATATAGAGGATTTATTTAGCTTGATTAGATAAGATTAAGGTTTAATTTGGCATGTAGTCAGGTGATTTTAAATAATGAAAATAAATCCATTGCAGTTGTAAGGTACAGTGTGATTATACAAAAACATATTCGGATCGAGAATATGAAAAAATATTTCATGTGCATGAGAGAATTGATTAAACAGTTACAAACAAAATTTGCAAATTTAATTAGCCTTTAAGCAGTTACTACTTTGCTGTATTGTTTTAAGTCATACCACTTTACTATTGCATATTACAGTATGGATTTTCTGATCAGTGTTTGATGGCTGTTGTACATCATACTTGACAGGGTATGTGTATATATATGTATATGAAAAAAAGGTATATACATACCCTTGTGTAATTTTTACTCTTTTAGAATGGTAGGATGGATGGCGGTACAGCTTTTTCACTAGCTGAATACTTGAGATGTGAAATCAAGCGGTACACACCAACTTCTAAAAACTGGACAAATAAACTTGTACTCATGCAACAGTTTTGACTAAACTCATGTAATATATCACTGTGTGAGCTAAAGCTGGCAAAAAACATTGTCCCTGCAGGACAGCAAACTCTATAAAAGTGATTGTTTGCATGTAGCATGTTATAATCTACATTTTTGTATTGTCAACAGAACTGAAGAGGTCCCTGTATGCATTATTCTCACAATTTGGTCATGTTGTCGACATTGTGGCTTTAAAGACTATGAAGATGAGAGGACAGGCTTTTGTGATATTTAAAGAACTTGGATCGTCTACCAATGCTTTAAGACAGCTGCAAGGCTTTCCATTTTATGGGAAACCAATGGTAAGTTACTTTGTTCACGCTTTTTTTTTTTTTTAAAAAAAAGAAGAAATGCCATGGTACAATACAGAGTTTTGGTACTTGGACCTTGTGAATTAACTGTCATGTATGCTTGTAAGTGTACTGTTACTCAGCCGTGTCACGTCTTAATGAATATATGTTTTTATGCAAGCTAGAGGGATGCCAGAGAGACTGTAGTTAAAAGACACACAGAGGTCGAACTTAGCATTTAGGTTTCCTAAGTGATGGCTGTATGTTTTTTCTGTGCTGGATTAAAGATTTTAGGATCCTGAATACTTCCATCTTACTCATCATGTCTTCTGTTGAACTGATTAAATTAATTCTGTAACTTTATTAAAATCAGGGGCTTTCAGTTAATTTATCTAGAGTTACCTCAATTACTATTATATGATGCTTCCTTTTTGAAGTGACAGTGAGTAGAGTGAAGATCTCCGCAGTTTTACTTTGCAGAAATCAACAGATGTGACTAGCGATTTATTTTTTTTTAGTTGATGTCTGGTTCTGCTTGTGCATGCACCAAACCAAATAACTAAATTTCAGGGTAACTTCAGTGAAGCAAATACACTGCTGGTTGATAGAAGGTGATTTAATACTGTACTTGATAATGTGCAGAATAGCACAACAATTGATGCGTTGTTGCCTGCTTGGATAATTAGGCATCTCTCAATTCTGCAACAATTTGTGAGGTGTAACAATACATGCAAATAACACACTTGACTTCAGTAATGGATGGATATATTAATACTGGCTTTGAGCATTAAGGAGAGCACAAGCAGTTCTTGTGTTGCTGAGCCACGAGCTTTTTTTGTTAACGCTTTCAGATTCTCTAATGAAATTCTTAGGAATTGTGCAAGCTCAGTTCAGTCGTTTACCCTTAAAGGGTTTTGTGCTCAGTAAAACTCAGTAGGAAATAAAAAGATCAAGGCTTCATAAGCTTTGAAGTGTTCTTCCCTTTTTGAATATTGCCTGCAGCATGCATACTCTTAACTAAGCACTAAAGAAAAGCGTGAAAAAAACTTCAACTGCTGTGTAATTTTGTATTTAAGTGGTCTCTGACAGTAAAAGCAATAGGATTGTGTGCATATATGATGTTGCACACTTGTATGCTCTTAGCTGAATCTGCCTTCCTGCCTGACTCGTGTATGGGGCAGACTTTGTCAGAAAAACAGCACCATTGTCCTGCTGACATGATTTATGCAGTCTGGTTTGGATTAAAGCTGGTACTTGCGTTTCTATTTCAGATGTCCGAGTTTTGCTGAGCTCAGTTTTCTGCAGAGATCTGAGAAATCCCTGTAAAATTTTAACTGTCCTTAGAATGGGGTTAAGAAAAACCTTCTCATTTTTTTTAATAAGAGCTAGTGCCAGTTTTTCAAATGTTGTTATGTAGCTTTGTACATCTTTTACCTTGACAGATGTTAAAAAGATGCTGTTAGGTATCTATTCCAGTTTCAATTTCCAGTGAGTTAAAAATTCCAATTTCAGTGAGTTAAAATTAGTAATTTCTATCTTAGTTTTTTTTAGAGTTCCATAGTTGTGTTCAGAATCAATTACGAGGATTAGATACTTTGTAAGCATACCTACAGTTCATAACAATATTTTCAATATAAGAAGTTCCTGTGAAAAATGCGTAAATACGCAGTAGAACACAGTTAATGAAAGTGGTGCAAAATGTTCAGTATTATTAACTCCAAAATCCACTCCTTTTTTTTTCCTTTTAAAAAGCGTATTCAGTATGCAAAAACAGACTCTGATATAATCTCTAAAATGCGTGGTACTTTTGCTGATAAGGAAAAAAGGAAGGAAAAGAAGAAGGCCAAGTCTCTGGAGCAGTCAGCAAATGCAGCAAATAAAAAGGTTATCCAGGTAAGTTGCTTCTGTGTTGAAAAAAGGAAAAACAATCACAAAAGCTATTTTAATTTTTTATTTTTTTTTTAGGAATAAGTACTGTCTTTTGATACTTCTCTGTTCCCTAAACTGTGGTCTATTGATATCTAGTGCTCTTGAGCACTCACTAGAAGGTGAAGGAGAGGGAGCTGATTACATAGTCCTTGCTGTTCCTTTCCCTCCCCACCCCCCCTTTCCTATTACCAGATGAAAACGAACATTTTGGGCAAAGGTACAATAAACGAAAGTACAAACTAAACTCTTCCTGAAAAAAAGGAGAGGTGTGTGCTTATCTTTAATGCCAGCTTCAAGTGCTCAACCAGCTTTTCAGTGTTTTAATGCCCTATTTGCTCTGTAAGCACTGAAGAATGGTAAATGGGAACAAGATAATTCATTGATAGGTAGGTGAAAAGGGGGTGGCTTGAAACATATCTCCACTAAGGGATGGCCTGCCCTAAACTAACAACATTTAGTAATTTATGTACTGAACTATAGCAGAAAACATCAAGGCACAGGGTTTCAATATTGTGTTACTTAATTACACTTACTGCTGAGGCACACACTGGTATCAAGGAGAGGTAAGAGTGTTCATAGAAAGCAATGTTTTCTAGGTAGAATATTTATATTTCTCAGGATTTATTAAAAAAATCAATCATTACATACAAATCTCTTGGGAATAAATAATTGTTACTAGCTATAATGATTATAGCTTTAGTTATCCTTGCGAAACCGTAGTCTTCAGCAGAAACATCTATTTTTCTCCTATTAGGTAAGTCCTGTCTAGGGCTTTATTTTCAAAACTACTTCCTTCCTGTCTATTCAACTAAATTTTCTAAAGTGGAGAAATAGTGATTTGGCCATTAGTCACATCAGATACTACTGATGTTTTTTCCTTGATTGCCTGGTTTTGCAGTTCAGTGAAATTCATGTGGTTTGTGTTCCCCTTTGGGAGAACAACAAAGGTCCCTTGGATTATATCTTAAAAAAAAACCCTTAAGATACTTCTTGAGTTGTACAGAAACATGGTGATGTGTGCTTATATATTTCTAACAGAAAACCTCTGTGAAACTATTTTGTACTTACTTACTAGGGAGCAACACAAAATTCAGCCAGTGCCCCAGGGACTGCAGCACAGAATCAGCAGGTAATGTTTTTCTGCCTTTGTGACTAGAAGCGCTAATGTTTAAAATTATTCTGTATGAATAATAGTTTGTTACGCATGGAAACTTGAGGATCTGTTTTACAGCTTTCTTTTTGTTTTGTGAGACATTTGTCTAACAGCTGAATCACAGTAAACAGACAAATCACACATTTACTTTATCTGGTTGATATGAAATGAAAATCTACAGTTGCTTAATATTATACAGAAAACTGCACTATTAACAAATCCCACTTGATTCTTAAATTTGGACTGTGCTTAGTATCAGTTGAAGGATTCTTAAAAGTTTTTTACATAGTTAATAAATTCACTTCAACTTGTCTTCCTTCTCCTTTTCTATTACTAGAACAAAACTACACAGGGTGCCAGAATATCTGCCTAAAAGCTTCCCTTCAGGAGTTTGGGGGTCCTCTGCTCGCTTCTTCTTTTTTATCATAAGTGTCTTATTTTCCAAAGGATTGTGTGGGGATGTAGCAACAACTCCCTACACTTCATGTGTTTTAGAAGTGGAGGTAGTAAAGAGCCAGGATTTGCAGGAGGGCAAATACTATAGAAGACTATCTTTGCCTGCCCTGCATTTCTTAAGTGGTATCGTTGAGAATCACATACACCATGCATGGGGGAAAATTTCTTGCTTCGAGTCTGGGTTTTCTTTCAGGTATCATTTGTAGCAAGGCACAATGTGTGTATGTCATTTTGCATCAAAGCACAACACTGAGTATTTAGGTATTTGTTTGAACTTTAGAAGTTTATTTTCTAATGGCACTGCCTGGAATATTTCCATCAGCTGAAGGAAATTGTTCTGCTGAGACATGAACTTGCTTGGCACCATTATTAGGACGTTTGAAGTTGTGATGTCCGATTTATTTTTACAATTTCCTTGATGACTTAGGAACGTTCTAGCCTTTCAGTCAAGTGTCATCAAAGTGACTACTCAGCCTTGTGGGTTGCTACAAATTCATATTGGCAGGCAAATCCATTAGATAAAAGACTCTGAAGTTTAAAATCTAATGGGTTTCTAATTAATAAATTTGAGTAGAACACTGTAGTAAAATGACAAGTGTTTTGTAGCATTTAGTTGCCCAAAGATACTCAGTATTTCAGTACTACTGCAGATGAACAGGGTTTTTATCTTGGCGTCCAACTGCTCTTCCAGAAGTATGTGAGTCTTTTGTAGGTTCTTCCACACAGGTGTCTGGCACAGCCGGTGCACAGGCACCTGGATCCCACCCCTGGCAGTGCTGAGAGTACTGCAGTATCAGCTGATGAGTTGTCCAGTTTAAATATGACATCTAAGGCCATATGTTACTGTGATTTTTGTGGAAATAAGAGCCTCTCCAAATTAATATATCAGTGTCAGAGGGGACGGTAAAAGAACCAAGGGGCTTTGTCTGCATATTGAATGAAGCAGTGCTATGAGCAAAACTAGATATGGGAGTCTTGGTTCAAATCATCATGAAGACAGAGGAACAGGTAGCTGTATATACTCTTCTAAGCTTGGATCTTCTGTTGTTGCAGGTGCCTGATAACCCACCAAACTATATCCTTTTCCTTAATAACTTGCCTGAGGAAACAAATGAGATGATGCTCTCCATGTTATTCAATCAGTAAGTTTTGAACAGAAAGGACTTCTTCTTTGAACTCTTTTGTTACCTGTATGCTTTTTCTCAGTTGGCAACCTGACTTTTTAAAAATAAGAGATTCTTCTGAAGGTATTTCAGTTCTTTGTCTTACTGCAAGATTACAGATGTCGGTTCTGATAACTTTGTGCAGAAAGCAAATCTGATTTTTTTTTTGTAGCTAGTTTTGATTGTCTGAGTTATCTACTATGAATATGCACTGGATTTAAGCTGGTGACTGTAATATTGAAGATTTTACAACAGCAAGAGCAGTTTTAAAACTACCTTCAGTTGCTTCCATATGTGCGCAAGAGTGATTAATTGATTCCACATAATGATCCTTAATTGAGGCTTGGTTCTAAGGACTGGACATGTAAATCCCTTCAATTTAAGTCTTTCATTGTAGTAACTATTATACTAGTAGATGCTTATGATAATGTCTTATGGCTACTGTATGATCAAACTAGGAAAGATTACCTGACCCTTTCACCTTACTTTAAAGGTTTCCTGGATTCAAAGAAGTACGCTTAGTGCCTGGGCGCCATGACATTGCATTTGTGGAGTTTGAAAATGAGAATCAAGCAGGAACTGCTCGAGATGCTCTCCAGGGATTCAAGATTACTCCATCTCATGCCATGAAAATCACTTACGCAAAGAAATAATCAGATGCTCCTGTAAAGGACTTCTGTGGGTTTGGTTTTTTTAATATTATGATACTTTGATCAGCTAGCATGTTTGCTGTTCTATGCAGAAAACTTGAGACTTGTGTAAAATTGCCACAATGGCCAGGACAGATGTAGGATTTCCGTGGGTCTACTGAATGGTAATTTTTTGTGTTGAGATACTAATTTTTATAAAAATAAATCCAGTTTATGCTGTTTTCAAGCCGTGTTTTCCTTGAATCTGTCTTATTATTGATCTGTTAGACTTGCAGGGCTTCTTCAGTATATTGGTTTAACTACTTTTAAGGTGACGCTCATTTCTCAGAATTGAGTGCTGGAAAAATAGCTTTCCAGAGCAAAAAGCATGAGCAGGAGTGCTAAATGTCAGCATATTCAGAATAAATGCAACACCCAATCTTCAGCCTCATTATAAAGGGGACAGTTGCTTTTCAGCAAGAATAATTTTGTCACCTGAGGAAAACAAATTATCATTAGTGGAGGTTTTTTCCCAGGTATGGGTAGAAATTAATTACAGTTTGACAGCATTGATATTCAGCTTGATTTTGTCTTTATAGTGATGGCTGCTAGTAGAAGCAGGTCCACAGAAGAAACATGAAAGTTTATCTGTTGTCTTCTCTTCTGTTCTTTCCAGCCCTATTAGCAGTGATTTTAATAAATGGTTTAGGAAGAGCTTTCTAGCTCTTTACAAATACAGTGCAGATGAGCCTGATGGTCTGCTTTTAGGCAGGTTTTTCCAAAATACAGGTCCTAATGCTTCTGGGTTTATTGGGTTGTTTGGGTTTTTGTTTTGTGTTTTTCCCATTTGTCAAAAACCTTTATGGGTCTTGTGTGATATTAAATACACAGTGAAGTAATCGGATGTCGGTTGTGACTTGTAACTGTTCTAAATATTTGCGTGCAAAAATCACTTCAGAGGCTAAAGTGTTTTGTTCAGGTGAGGGAGGACCTAGAAAGATATTTTAGGTTAAGAGACTAATGAAATTTACTTAAAATATTATTATATTTTTGGTGAATCTTGCAGTAGGTGTTGCATAGTGTTGGCTAGGAGGATTGCAACCAGACCCTTGAAGATTGATGTTTGAGAGGAAGTGGTCACACAGCGCTTGTCATGTTGCACTGTTCCTTGCTTCTTGAACACTTTGTGAGGCCTGTAGCTGCCTTTTCAGACAAAGAAGTAATGGGGTAGAGTTAGCATAATTTCCTTTAGGTGTTGGAAACTACAAGGAAGAATGTTTTGCACTGTAGCTACATTGCAAGTGCTGAAGTGTTGCTTTGGAAACCGGCAATTTTGTCAATGAGGGCAGGAGAGAAGGCCATAGCCTTTGCTCTATGACCATGGCTCTATGCAGTGGCTTCCTGTGTGGTGTGGGGTTGGCTGTAGCTGCAGAGCAACTTTTTCCCCCAGTTTGTTCTGAAACAATTGAGATATGACTTTAAACTGTTCTTTGGACAAAGTGCTGCACCTTCAGGGAAGCATGATTGCTTTTTATAAAGTCTTGGGATACTCTCGTTCTGGCATGTCCACTCAATTTCTGACAAAATGCTATGTTTCAGTGCATCTATAAGCATAAAAACTAGCTACGTAAACCACCTTTTTTGCACAAGACCTGAAAAATCTGTCACTTTTTGCTCCCAGAGTACATTGCAAGATAATGACCCTTCCAGTGTCATCTCAATTACTGTCGTATTTCCACTCATGTATTTCTTCATTCTTTTCAGTGATTTTTTTTTTTGTGATTTCACAAGTATTCTAATACTTGCAAGTGAAAATTGTTTCAATGTGCTTGTAAGAGAGCAAAAGTGACTGTTGTTCCATCATGAACGTTATGTTCCTGCATGCAGTCATAATTTTATAGGTATTAATTATGCTGTCCTTGCATCCCACTAGTCTGTACATAAGACTATCATTGCATAGCACTGCTCTTCACCTGTGTTCACTTAGAAGTGTTCATGTGGAGCTGTTTGCAAAAGAGGTTAGACACTCCGTATGGGAGGTTGGAGGATGGAGTAATGGGCTGGAAGATTAGAGGAGAATGTGGTGAAGTCAGCTGTAATATGACAGTGATGCTAGAAATTGCAAGATGCTCTTTCTTTTAAAGAGTGTGGGATTTTTGATGACGGGTGACAGCTTCCTCTGTTCTGCTTGTGGTCTGTAAGCTAGTACAGCCAGCAGCTATTCAGGCCTCCTCGTGAATCCAGAAGCACTGGTTCTCTGGAGTGTCATTTTGGGAACTTCCAGATTTGCTCTTGGTCACTTTTAAGGATTGATCCAGACCAGCTTTCTGTAGCCCGATAACTGTGATGTGAATCGCTTACAGTGCAGTAACTCCGGTGCTTTTTCCTTTTGTGCATTTGTGCGCATCTATTTTAATTAAAATACTCGCTACAAGTCCTGCCTCATGTATGCTATGACAAGATTTGGGTAATTTAGATGAATTCTAGATGTCCTCTGCAAGGCGTAGAGAGGACCTTTTAAGTCAGCCTGTGGTACTGTATCACCATCAAGCTTGCTGATGACACAAAACTGGGAGGAGTGGCTGGTACACCACAAGGCTGTGCTGCCATTCAGCAAGACCTGGACAGGCTGGAGAGTTGGGCGCAGAGGAACCTGATGAAATTCAACAAGGGCAAGTGCAAGGTCCTGCACCTGGGAAGGAACAACCCCATGCACTAGTACAGGCTCGGGACTGACCTGCTGGAGAGCAGCTCTGTGGAGAGGGACCTGGGTGTCCTGGGGGATGACAAGGTGACCATGAGCCAGCAGTGTGCCCTGGTTGCCCAGAAGGCTAATGGGATCCTGGGGTGCATGAAGAAGAGTGTGGCCAGCAGGTCGAGGGAGGTTCTCCTCCCCCTCTACTCTGCCCTGGTGAGGCCCCATCTGGAGTACTGCGTCCAGTACTGGCTCCTTTCCTTACATTCAAGCCCGTGGTTGGAAAAAGCGTGTACAGTTCAGATACTGCAGTAGAATTCCTTGTGGACAAACAGCTGGATTTTATTATCCTTCTATGTTTCAGATGACCTTTCTAGATGACGTTGTTCACTCTTTGCTGAAAGGTGAAAATACTGGCATCACGACTGAAGAGTTGTGCCCTCTATTTAACTTGGTGAAAGGGGACTCAGATTTGTAATCTTCCTGGAGATTGACGCCAGCATCAAAAACTGTCTTGCAGAAAGTTTCGGATAAAATTGTAACTGCCTTTGCCTCCAGAATCAATGTCAAGTTACCAATAGATTTGTATATAATTTATGCTTTTTTCCAGCCCTATGCTCTTTTAGTTCAGTGGTGTGTCAGCGTGCAGGAGTTGAAGACTCTGGAATGGATCTTTTTGTCTCATATGCCCATGAAAACATTAACAAATGTAGACATGATAGTGTCCTTGATCGCACAAGGTTGGAATCGTTGTCAGCAATTGACAGGACGTGATACTGATGCTATTTACCTGCCGCTGGCTAAAGGTGACTTTGTGGTGTTAAATAGGGAATCCTTACCACTACAAGCTGCTCTAGCTGGTTATTTAAATGAGATACGTTATACCCTTCCACAACATAAGCTGTTACATTCCCTCTCTCAAATTCCGTTGCAGCCAAAGAACCAATGTGTTCCTGCTCCTATTAAAGGAGCATGAACAGTGTTTCTGGATGCATCAGGGAAAACACAAAGCTCTGGTTGTGTGGAAGCAAACAGATTCATCAGACTGGCAATCATCTATTTTAATCGTTGAAGGATCCACACAAATTGCTGAACTATCAGCGGCCTTGCACGGCTTTGAATTGTTTTTGACTGAACCACTCAATGTTGTCGCAGATTCTGCATATGTTGTGGGTATTGTTCAACGCATTGAAGATGCAATGATAAAAGAGGTCAGTAACAAACAACTTTTTTCTTTGCTATTGAAATTAGCCACACTACTTAAAAACCGTGTACATTTATATTTTATAATGCATATATGGTCACATACTACTCTACCAGGACCAATAACTGAAGAAAACGCTGTAGCAGACAAATTGACAATGGCAGCAGTACTGCTACGCAGTTTTGAGCAAGCCCGATTATCTCACGACTTCTTTCATCAAAATGCCTCTTCCTTGAGTAAACAATTTGCTTTGTCCCGAGGGCAAGCTGCAGAAATTGTCCATGCATGCCCTGATTGTCAACGTATTACACCCGTATCATCGTATACAGGAGTGAACCCTCGTGGTTTACAAGCTAATGAGTTGTGGCAAAGTGATGTTACACACATATCAACATTTGGTCGACTGCGTTATGTACATGTTAGTGAGGATACTTTCTCAGGGTTTCTGGTAGCCACTGCACATACGGGAGAAAAGGCACATGATGTGAAACGCCACTGGCTAAGATGTTTTGCCATTATGGATGTTCCAAAAACAATTAAAACTGATAATGGATAATGGTCCTGCTTATGTTTCGCGGATAATTTCTATCTTCCTATAAGACTGGGGTATACAACATGTTACAGGTATACCGCATTCTCCTACTGGACAAGCCATTGTTGAATGTGTCCATGGGACCCTCAAAGCTATGTTACATAAACAAAAAAAAAGGGGAATCCTATGGGCAGTGTTACCCCACAGGAACAGTTAGACAAAGCATTATATGTACTTAATTTTTTAAATCGTTCTGATTATCAGTGATTTACAACAGCAGCTGACTGCCAATTCGTAATGGTACCTCCATTTGTGGCTCGACCAAGAGTATGGTGTAAAGAATTTGGGGAATCGCAATGGATAGGTCCCATAGAACTAATAACATGGGGAAGGGGGTATGTGTGTGTTCTTCTCTCAGCCGGCCCTCGATGGTTACCAGCAAAATAAGTGAAACCATATCATGAGCTGAAAGAATGCAACACAGAATCCAATGCCAAAGATGACCACGCTCGCACTCAAGGAGCAACCTCCGACGTGGACGCGGAAGAGATCCACTCCGGATGATCCTATTACATGGGGAAAACTGAAAAAAATTACAGCAAAACACAAGTACTATGATGGCTGCAGTTGGGTGCACTACCCACACCAATTAATACATTTTTAGCATATTTGGCAATTATCTCCTGCAACAGCTCTTTCTATAACAAAGCAACCTTGAAGGACATGGTATACGTGATCTTAGAACTGAGTTTGTGCAGAAGCAAAGGTCAACCAGCAGACACCATGAGGAAAAGTACAAACCTTCATCTGAGGGCCCCCGACAACCGCTCAGAGATGTCAACAGACATGTGTGAAGGATATTAATATATGCTAATCAGTTCTAAGAAAAAACACGAAAAAAAGGAAAAAAAAGAAAATGAAAAAAAAAAAAAGAATGATGAGCATTTCTCGGAAATGTAATAAATATGTATGTTAATGTAGTATAAATACCTGGTAATTATGTCTTTTCGGCATGCACATTTGGGCGTAGCTATCCCCTGTGCATCCAGCACTGCAATAAAGAATGCCTGCTTTCTAAAACTCCAAAATTAAGTTTTAGAGAGTGTATTATTTTGCCGCTTTCCGGTAACAGATTTTGGCACCCCAGATGGGACCCTGCTCTTGAACATCAACGGATCCGAGTGATCGCAGGACCTCCAGCTGGCACCGAGGGATTGTCAGGGAGAACTTCCGATCCTCAGACCGAACAGTTCTGAGCAAGGACCATTAATAAGGTAAAGGCATTCTTCCAGTATTATTTCCTGTTGCCTGCCCGTCAGTCACAGCAAAAGCTTCACAGCATTGGGCTACATCCCCAGGGAAAAGGGCAAGTACGCTCCCTGAAACAGAACTGAAAAGAAAGTACCCTTCCTGAAAGAGAATTGAAGAATAAGTCTCCTTCCTGAAACCAAGGCTTGGGAGTTTGTTTGTTAAATGTTGTATACAGTTGTGATTATAATTATGCATTGTTAGTAAGAGTGATAATTATTGTAAGTCCCTGTCTGTTTGTAAGTCTATATGTATTTGTAATATTCGGATGTATGTTGAAAATTCAGTGTGCCTGTGCATGTGCAGTTGAGACTATAACTGTGTGGTTTTGTGTGTTTGTTGTCATAGTGTTTGTATTTCTGTGATGTGATGGATTTATTTGGTTTCTGTGACCTAACGGATTTGTCTGGATTAAGTAACTGCTTTAGCGCCTTCCGGTTTGGTAAGTTCTGCAGGTATTGATTATTTATGATTTTTGACTTTAGACTGCTGTATTTGTATTTATCGGGGCTGGATTTTATAATCTAATGATTCAAGATCTAAAGAAGATTGAAGCCAAGGTACTTGCTGCTCTGGCGGTGAACCCATTGTTCCAAAACAAAAAAGGGGGAGTTGTGAGAAACAGTATAGCTTGAGACAGAACAGCACTGTCTCATGACCCTGAATGATCACCGCATCCTGTTCCTCTCTTTGCTGTTCCCAGGTGATAAGCTGTTTTCGCACATCCAGATGCAAAACATCCTGGAAAACAGCAACCGTGAACTGGCATCCACAAAGCCACAAATCCAAAGCTGATTGGTTTTAGTAACTATTGTATTAGTATATAAGGTATTCACTTGAGCAATAAAAGGATTCTGATCGAGCACAGACTGGGGTCCGTGCGATCATTCACCACAATGGACAACTGCAGGAAGGCTTAAAACATTTAAATAATACAGTTGCTGACTGAAATGTTAATACAGAATAACTTTGGGAAAGGATTCGGTTTTGTGAGTGGATCCTGAGGTCTTCCTTCCATCTGTGGCTCCTCTCGTGGGGTGGAATGTCGCCCTGACACCTCCCCATTGGCCTGGCATGTTTGTCCAGGTATGTGCCTCTTCCGTAAAAGATGGGTATCACTGGATCTGGCATGTATTCGGCAAGTGCTGCAGCACAGAAAAAAGACACTTTTGTGTCGTGGATTAATGTGTCCTCTTGTAACTGGATTTTTTATGGACAAGGTTTCCAGCAAGAAGCTGTGTGCTGATGACAACTGTGTAAGTAATTTTGTTGTAATTTGAGAACATAGTCTCAAAAATGACTGCAGAGTTTGGATGCTGCAGTGTGAGGGATAACTACTCTGCTTATTTAGCTCTGTTATATTTGTGTTGGTTTGTCAACTTTAAAAGCAGAGTGGGAGAGTTTATTTGGAATGTCATATGCAATTTTACTGCAAAAAAGGTTTTGTAAAAGACATTTTTCACTCAAGTGAAAGTGTAGAGAGAAGGATTGTAACTTCCACTATGATGAAATGGTACATTCTTAAGCCGTTACTTTTCTTACTGGAGAACAGAAAAATGAGCAATTGTTTCAGGCTTTATTGATTTCAGGATAACCTACTTTTGTCTGTGGAAATAGTTTTACAGGTGTGCATACACACACGCATATTTATATTTCTCTCTATAATAAAGTACATATGTATTTAAATTTGTCCGTCTCGTTCTTTTTTTTTTCTTGGCACCATTTCCCTTGCCACAGCAGAAGAGGATTATAATGCTCCAGACTGCAGATTAATTAATATAAAAAAAGGACAGTTGATTTATGTTCACTCAAAACTTGTGAAAGAAAAAGAGTCAGAATTCTGGCCTGGAAGTGTAAGAGGAGATTCTTGTGTATATGAGCAAACCAGAAGTAGATTAACACACATTTCTGACCAGAAATGGATGCTAATGGTGAGCTATTGTGGGTTTTAAAGCAGAAACTTAGCTTTTGAAGTGAATGTTTAAACTTAAACTGATTGAGGAGTCTTGAGGGTTTTAAACTTTTTTTTGTAGTGAAATAACTATATGGTAATTATGAACTGAAGCTTAACGGGAGGGCTCAACAGTTCTTTTCTGTGGCTGCTTGCTGAAACTATGGAGGAGGAAGCTTTTATCACAATTGGTCATAAACCCCTTAAATTTAAGGGAAGCGAAGATAAATATTAGCTGCATTTATAAAAAATTTCCAGATGAACTATAGGCAGTACTGATTTACTCCAAAAAAGTATGCCTGTATCAGAACTTGTGTTAATGGTTTGTTTCGTGTGCCAGCTAATTTGAAACGAGGAAATCTACAACCAGAATCAGAAACACTATTAGAACTGCTTTTGATGAAATTATGAACTAGATCAAACAAGATGAGGACTGTTTTAAGGTCCCTAATTGTATATCTCCTTGCTTGAAGTTTTATCAAGAACAGTATGAAGATCATATGGAGACAGCTGGTTATTTCCATAGCAGCTTAGTCTCAGAACGACATGTCTGTCAAGAAGCAAATAAGACTGTTCCTGCAACGGTAAGGAATTTGCAAAAGCCCAGATGGCTACGTAATTATACTTGGCTGTGTAATGCTAATTTGCTGTAAAAACAAATCATAATTGTGACAGTTGATTGTAGCATATCACAGATGCTTAGTGATCCAATCTTTGGGCCTTTATTTAGGTAAATAGCCTTAATGAAATCCTAACATACGCTCTGATATTGCAGACATTAGAAACACTGCACGAAGGGCTTGATCCTATTAGAGTTCTATTGATTTGAGTAGTAGTCCTTCAAGGCCACGTAAGTTTTACCCAAACCAGTTGCAGTACATGGCAAGAAGCTTTCTTTTTCAGAGTCTGGATGTTGTGCTGTGTACTTTAGTAACACGTGCAAGCACACTTTCTGTTAATTGTATATATAGATGGACATTGTCATAGAGAACTTCTGATTTACTCTCTTCTTTTTATGAGAAAGCAAGCATGCTTTCAAAGTTTTATTGATACGTTTATCAAAAAGCTGAATTAAAACACTATTGGAAATACGTTAGTGTTCTGTAAGTAGGCTGTATTTCTGAAAGGGTGATTGTCCCTGATTATATACAGTAGTGTCTCATACACCAGACAACTCACAATTTTACTGAAGAGCTGAAGCACTTTACAGAAGCATGGAAGAGGAGGGTCCTTTCTCAGAGGATGGTATGGTTTGGCTTACAACTAAGCTTACTGCTAGCTTATTTCTAGCCTTGAAACAAATGGAGTGGTAGGTTTCCAGTAATTATCAATATTGTATATTTACCTATATGCTGTTTTGAAGTGTATGGCAAAATACAACTAGTGTGTCAATCTTGAAATCATATATAGACACTTTAATCCTAGGTCCAGATTATTAGATGGTTTTCATTCACACAGAGGAAATAAGTGAAAAGAAGAATTTTGTTTCATGTTAATAGTCGCTAGGATTTGCATTATAATGTGTCAGACAAGCTTTATTTCAGGAAATGTAAAACTCGGATAAGTGATTGCTTTACTTGACATCACATTATGTTATTCTGAATTTGGCCTAGATGCCTTGCAGCAATTAATTAGTTACACAACATGAAAGAACAACTAAAATACATTTCTAAGCTCTATTCTCAACAATATGCCTGCCAGTCTGCTGCATGGCAAGCTGAATTGGAAGCAGAGGTAGATTAAAGCAGTGGTTTAGCCTGCAGGCTGATTCGGGGTCCAGAATGGGCTGTTGTCAGGCTGCAATGCAGAACTTTAATTGTAATGTTCTTTCACAAAACTAGTGACACAGACTTTCACAGTCATTTCACCCTCACTTCACATTCTCACTATGCAGGAACTTTACAACAAAGAAGAAGGGCGGTACAAATAGTGCTTTTCCTTATTCTGCTGCTCTCAATCATATGTTGCAAATGTGTCCTTAAGGATCTGACTCTTTCTAAATTAACATTTAAAACAGTCTACAGCCCATCTTGACCCAATATGTCCTGGGTTCAGCTGACATAGGGTTAATTTTTCAGAAGAAGTCAGGAGGGTACACAGTCGGGATGGCTGACTCAAACTGGCTAAACAAACCAGGCATTTGATACCGTGTGAGGTCATGCTGTGTTCTGAGTGGGGGAGCTGGCCGGGGGAGGTTGATCATTGCTGGGGAGCGCACTGACCATCAGGCAGTGAGAGACCTGCTCTGCATATTTCCTTTTTTTTTAATATTCTTCTTATCAGTATTATTGTTGCTACTGTTCGCTTCCTTTGCTGTCCTGTTAAACTGCCCTTATCCGGAGGGATTTTTTTTTATCCTGACCCACAAGTTTTGCCTTTTTCTTCCGATTCTTCTCCCCACCCCACCGGGGGGGAGGGGCAATAGAATGGCTGCATGGTCCTTTGTTGCTGGCCGGGGCCAAACCATGACAATGGGCATGCTGCTTGCTCCAGAAATATCCCTTAAAGGCGCTGTTTTATACAGAGCTAGCGTTGCACACCGCCATAGATACTTCTAATGCCACAGCCTTCCATCTGCAAGTCAGTAGCTGGTATTTGCTCGCAGCTCTGTAACCTTCCGCCCAAGCCACTCACAATGTTTTTGGCTCGGTCTCCTGGCTTTGCAGCTGTAAAGCTGAATACTGGTGTTATAATTTCTCTTGGGAAGGGGTTGCCATTAGTGTGGAAACCATCTTCTCCACCCACTCATTCTCCTGCCCCTCAGCTCCAGGGGGAGTTTCATCTCTATGAGCAGACCTGATGATGCCCAAAGCTTAATGGTTAGCCAGTGTGTGGCACCTGCCACTGATCAGAGCACTGGGTGCCACGCAAAAATGGCATTTCATGGAGGAAAAACTGATGGGGAACTTGACAGGGAAAAGTATTGGGGGAGCGCACCTGCTGCACTGGAGAGAAGCCTGAAAGAGGACATTAGCCTTGGGGCTTCTGTGTCTCATGACTCTCCTTTTATTTTTTATTTTTTTTTCCCCACTGTTGAAGTCAATGTATGCCATCAGGTAATGGCAAAGTAAACGTTTCTGCCTGTGAACTTCTCTCAGCATCCTTTTGTGCAGCGCTGGGTAATCCATGCCTGTTAGTTGCTGTTTGCACAATAAATCTCAGGAGAACCTTTTTTTCCCCAGTGCTGCTACTTCTGAACCATTGAATCACACTGAATACAATAGACTTAACACAATAGACTGTGTACTACAAAGCAGTGTTGGACTGCCTGCCTTCCCTTGATCACTTAAAATTGGCCTTTTGCTGGCTAAGATGAGAGCACTTTCATTACCGGTAAGCATCTGCTCTGAAACAACTCCTTGTCTGCTGCTTCCAGTGGATAGCTGTAATGTGGTACACTGGTCTGATGTAAATGTTGTACAGTTTGAGCACCACAGTGTGATAATTCCTCGCAGCAGAATCAAGATCAACATAGCCATATAAGATAAAAGCAGAAAGTTAGATAAAAGCAATACGCTGTGGAAGTCTATCCCATGCTGGAAGTTTTCAAGCAAAATACTGGCATTTATTTTCTAGTCATGTTTTTCTGTAGCAAGTGTATCGCATAGCCTCAGTCTGTTTAAGGCATCCTTTTCGTGTGTGATTAGAAACTGTTTCAGGATCAAGGGTTACTTGGATTTATTAGTCATATGTATGGAGGTAGGAAGACAAAACGAAAAAGGGAGATACAGGAATAATTTGAAATGAGGAGAGAAGGTGGTATTGCCTAATTCACTTTAAAATTTATGGCAGGAATAACTCCCAGCTATGCAAAAGGAGTCAAAACACAAAGGACCTTTTTCTTTTCCAGAATTCTGTGAAGTTAGTTTATTCATAGAGAACTTACTCTGAGTATGTTACAGTGTATTCAGTGTTTGCATCTACTTATGCTTTTGGGGGGTGATAAAAGGAATGTTAATCCTTCAGTAATCTCAAAACAACTTTCCTTTTAACTCTCTGTTTCAGGACGTAGATTTCTTCTGTGAATAGTGCTGAAAGCAGTCAGGTAATCTCTTGGCTGCTAACGTGGAAAGCTGACAGAAAGAAACCTGGACACGCTCCCTGAACACACAGCCCTTCCTGTAATAGATGTTTGTGAAACAAGTAATCTTTCTTCAAAACAAGAAAGTTTTCATTTAAAGGGGGTGATTTGGGATGGTGAAGTAGTCCCACACAGGATTAGTTCTTTAGAAATTTTTTACCTGCGTATATTTTGTTACTTGTTAATAAAGCTAACAGCCTTTGAACTGCTGTAAATCTGTGGGGTATAAATATGCTCATGTATGGGATTAGATGTGCAATCCTGACCTGCATTTTTGTGACATAATCTTATACCATGTATTAGATATTAAAAAAAAACTTCCTTGGGTGAGCCATCTGTGACTCACGGGAATAAATAATTTTTGTTGCAAGAGATATCCAACAACTGAGAAATCATGAGTAAGTAAATACATGCTTTAGCAGTGTGTGGAAAAGAGTATCCCACCCATCGTGTGTGCTGGTATGGGGCATGTTCAAGCTAAAACCGTGGCTCAGAGCCACAGGCTGAGATGGGAGGATGAGGTCAGGCTGGGGATGGTGCCTGCCCAGGGCCTCCCCCAGCCTGGTGGGAGGGCCGTGTCCTGTTGCTCCCCTGAGCGCTGGTACAGAGGATGTCTAGCCTCTGCTAACTATTCCAACGATAAGAATTGGAGGAGGTATCCAGCTGATCCCTCTCTGCCTCTTAACAGTTGTACTGCGAGCGCTGGGATGTCTGCTATGTCGTGGAGAGCCTCGTGCAGAACTGGGTGAAGCAGCAGAAAATCCGTTTAATTTTTTAAGAACTAGCACGTTTCTGAAGCCACAGCGTAGAGGCGAGTACTCATCTCAGAAACGAAGGCCTAAAGGCGGCTCCGAGTGCCCTCTTGAGTCAGCCTGACAGCGCGTGAAGCTGTGTCTCCCCCCCGGAGAGC